CATTACTTCAAAATATTTATTTAATTCTTTTTTTTGCAGGTACTAAAAAAAAACATTATTTTAATTTTATTGTGTAAATGACACGATACTGTATTCTTTAGTAATAATCAAATGTTCTTCATGAATAGACTAAGGTGGTTCATTCTGTTTTGTACGTATTATAAAACAAATTATGTTGTGTGAATTCTGATGAATCTATTATGTTGAGATAATCATTATTTTTTGTTTTCCATATTCTCCTTAACATTCTTACTGCTGGTTGTATAAATGATCCATGAGGAGTATACTGATAATGTATGTACAATTTGATATATATATGTTCGATTTATTTTATATAACTTTTACATAATTACTTGTAATGTAAATTTTAAGGAAATTATATAATAATTTAATCAATTTTATATTTAACCTTATATAGAAAGAATGTTATCATTAATGATGTAAGAGGTATAATGATGAATGTTAACATAACGATACGTGCATTTTTCAAAGATGCACGTAGTTTCAGTATTTCTTGTAAGTATGGCAAATATGTCATATATGAATTTTCAAATTTCTCCAGCACTGTACGAAGACTATCGTTATTTGAACGATCACATATTTCTGATAGTTCCCTGTACACATTGATACATTCATCAGATTTAGAGCAGTTCATGCCAGGTTCTGATATCCATTCATATAGTACATTCAGCTTTGTCAATGTTAAATATATATTCTCATCCATTTCTTTAAAATCATTCTTACATACGTTGGAAACACTGTTAAAAACAGTATTTTTGGTATGATCAATTATTTTATCATAAGCATGGTAACTATTTTGGTCACTTATTTTAAAATATTTTAGTGTATTTTTTACCATATAGTTGAAATAAACACAACTAGGTTTTTTATTGGGGGAACTTTTTATAGTGTTTATGTAGTTTAAATAAAGTATAAGTTCATAACATTGTGGTAAAAAGTCAAATCTATTTATCTGTTGACCACTCAATTCAGTAAAAATTTTAAGACAGGGATCCCTCAAAATAGAACTATAATCATTTTCCTTTATTTTTTTATATATCCTTAAATCCTGCATACAGTTGGGAAATATACCCACAAAATTGAACTAAAAACGAAATCATAATGCATATAAAAGTTTAAAATAATATTTATAATGAGACATTTATAGCAATGTTTATATACATATTACTATATAAAGATTAGCTAATGTAAATTATATTTGGAATTAATAGTAAGAACCTCTTTATCATTTATTACTATTGGTGTTGTCATTGTGATATTTAACGTAAATTAAAAAAAACATAATTTATATTTTTGTAATTATAAAAGTTTATGTGTAAAAAGGCTATACTACATACTATATTTATATAAAATATATTTTA